TAGATAGATATAGATATAGAGATAGATATAGATAGATAGATATAGATAGATAGATATAGAGATAGATATAGAGATAGAGATAGATATAGAGATAGAGATAGATATAGAGATAGATATAGAGATAGAGATAGAGATAGATATAGAGATAGAGATAGATACACATTTGATATTGTTTTCTCATTTTACACCTAATATTTAAAATATTTTTTAGTATGAAAGTTCTCAGAATAGTTTTCAGGGTGCATAGCAGATTTTTCAGGGTAGGATTTGCAATAAAAAAATTCCTTTGAATTCTTCCATCCTCTGTTCCTTCCTACTCTCAATAACTTATGTCACTTTCAAAAACATCTAATAATATATTCCATATTATCTCATTTCTTAGTCCATCCATTTTTCACTAAAAAAAGTTGCAAACACGCATAACACAGGCCTTAGTACAAGCTGCACTTCGCTGAAACAATACCGCAAAGGAAGGCTAGAATGAAACGTTATATTTCTTATCGCTCAGATTATTACATGTAACTATGGTTCACTTCGGGAACACAATAATTCAACATTGTTGACTGAGATCTTACCTGAAAATTCTATAATAGAGTGTATGTCATCTCTCAGATGCCTTCCAGTTAAACAATAAATTCAACATGTCATATCCGAGCTGCCCTCTGACCTGTAGGACATGTCTAAGACATCACACTCCGAGCTATGTGCTGCCATCAATCTGTAATGTCTCAGAGGCCTTCTGTCCTGTAGGACTAATCACTTTCTGATACATGACTACAAAGGGTTCAAATATGCTGTGGTCTAATTTTCATAAAAATCTCCAATTATTTAAAATTGAAAAGTTCAAACTTTCTCTGCATCTTCCTACAACTACAATATTAAAGTTAAAGATTTGTTTTAATGAGCTCTGTTGTTGAAAGACAGATCATGAAACATGATAATTTAAAACTTTTCTAAAATGTGAGTAGTTAGTGCATAATTTTGCTTGAAAATGCATAGGCAATTTTTAAACAAATATTTTCTCAAAAACAATGCCAAATTTTTTTTCATTCAATTTTCTTCTCATACCTATCAAAGGGCTTTAAAGAAATTTGGTCCTGGTCCTTTTCTTCGCAAACACTGTATTTTCAAAAATTGCAAAAAATTAACATTGCAACAGTATAATATTTAATATGGAGATTTTTATCTTAAATGAAATATTTTCTAAATAGTCAGATCTTTAAAAAAGGTAATGTACAGTTTTTGGAAAAATTTAGTAGTTTTTGCATAATTTCTGAAGTTAATGCAATTTGCAAAAATTATTTTCTTAAAAACAGCTTGAAATTTTATCTACAAATAGAGCAAAGGATTCTATAAAAAGGTGCAGGTCTCATATTCATTGAATTCTCTGAATTTTTGGAAGGTGCGAAAGTTAGAATTATTGCTAGAAAAGATGTGTTGTTGTAGCTCCACCAGTTGTTAAGGATTGTGTGAATTTCTGTATCATTGTACTGTGTAGACATTGTAGGTACTACATTGTAGATACAAGTACTGTATCTACATTATGTTACATACTCATGTTTTTTTAATCGGAATTGTGCAAATGAAAATAGAATTGACAATGGAGAACCAATAGTATAAGTCACTGCGAGCCACACTTTAATTATTAACACCAAACAGCCACTCATTTTGAAAATACTTTTTGATTACAAATGAACATTTATGCATAACAGAATTCTCTTCCATAGTAGCTCTTTTAATACTTATACCCAAATGCACTAGCTATATATGGTTGAAAAACTTTGGCAGGGAAGGAAAGTTCATGCAAATTTTTGAAATGGTGTAATAACATGTAGATTTGTGTATGATAAGAGACATAGAAAATAAGTATTAAAGGAAAATTAGAAATGTTGGGAAATTGTACAAGAGGATTCTGAGAACAATGAGAAAAGAGAAACCAATTGCTCTTATGACAAGAAGTTTTGTATTCAGGAAGTTTGTTATTAAATAAAGATGCCAGAGGGCGAGAAAAAGAAAGCAAAATGTTTGGGAAGACTAATGGGTATCAAATATGGAAAAATTGCTAATGAGAGAGGGACAAGCACTCTATGCCTGCAGTTCTGTTGAATGAGTTAATTGATGGTTAAAAAATAGATGAACATCTGTGAAACAGACAAGTTTTAATAACTGAAAGGGGATGTATCATTTCAAGCAGATTGTTTTGAACAGATGTAGATATGTTTGCAAAACTTTAGTATAACCTTTGTGCTTGTTAAATAGATATTATTTCTAAAAGGATATATGTTATTTGTACTTTTTTTCCCTTCCAGATTTAGACAAGTGTATTTCCTTGTCTCAGTTAATTGCTCAAAATCGCAAGAAAATTGAATTATGCACGCCATTTCATCTTCATGTAATGCAGAGTCTACAAATTCAAGGTGGCTGGAAGAAATTGGCTGTAGAGCTTACTGAAATGTTATTGCATCAATTAAAACAGATGCTTGAAAAGAAAGAACCGACTCCTCTTATCAGTCAGCTGTGTACTCTCTTAGGAGATCATTTGATTGACAATCGAATAAAGTAAGTATGATTAAGTAAGTATTTGATTGATATCAAATAAAGTAACCAGGGCTGCTCAGGTAGCCAGCACATTGGTCAACTTAAGTCCAGTGCTTGTCTGTGTGAATTTGTGTACATATTCTGCATTTTATTCTAAATGTTTCCATTATGTTCACATGTATCAATATTTCTTTCTTTTTGATCCTCCTTCAGTATTGCAACATTATCTGACTTTTAAGGCCCCTCTGAAAGTTTTATGGACTAAATTTGCATTGTTCATAGCCTTTCATCACCTAAGAACGTTCCCTTCTGTGACACCAGTTCTATCCATCCTGCACTTGTTGATGGCCGCTTTTTAATTAACTGTTCAAAACACAGATTCACATTCGCCACACATTGAACGAGATTCCATGCAGCCTCGTCAAACTCGCATCATTCCAAAAAATCTGGGCATACATTTTCAGATTACATTTCATTTGCTACGATGCCATTCTTTTTGTGATTCTCTCATTACCGGCCCATTCAAATATATTGCTCTGAATTGCCCAGCAAATTTGAAGCGGATGCCAAGGATATGAAAGTGAATATAATTGCATGTTGTAGATATGCATGATATTTTTACCCTCTTTGCAATTGGTTATTACGTCAACATTTATGAGTTTCGTGACTTGGAATGGCAATGTAAAAGTAAAGCAGTAACCAACTAGGCTTAATCTACAAATATATGACCACCCTGCATTTTTTGACTGAAATATTTTGGAAAAAGCCTCATCTTATTTTCGGTTAAATATGGTATATATAACTGTATATAGTAGAATCTCATTAGCACTTCCTTCAAGCATCTGAAAATTTTAAATGTCAAGAGGAGGAAAGCATATTATCTAAGAATGCTGAATTTGTTATCTTCATATTCTGAAGATAAACTAAAGTACGTGTAATAACCACACAAATACACACGAGATACACTCATTTAATTGTAAATTATAACCTTATATAAATGATATTGAACACATATCAAAAAATACAAATTGAAAAGAAAATCAAAAAACTAGCATCCTTGATCTATCAAATTAAAAATAAAATATACCAGTATGCTTGGTCTAACAAATTCAAAGAAATGTATGGTAACACAACATAACATGAAAGTAGGAAGGTGGTGAAGGTACAGTTAGACAATTTTCTCATGCTTTGGTTTTGCAATTAAACGTACTGAAAATATCCTGAGTATTCTCTGGTATTCTTAAGTTCTCCAAAATTTCCTGGAAACAACACACTGAAGACAGCCTCAGAAAGTACCTAAATCACAGAACATATTATCGACAAACTTTAAACATGCTTAGAAGGATTGTTTAACATGGAAACCAGTAATTTGATGGTATTGGGTCTGGGTTGTAAAAATACAGAATGTTGTGGTAACAGAGAATGGACTTACAAGATTCCTCTATATGTGAAATCATTTAGAATTGGTTTGTCAATACTCAGTCAAAAGATGCAATATTTAGTTTGTCATATTTGACCCATTAAGGTATTATCAATAATTTTTAACTTCTGCACATCCTCTAAGAAAGTTGAAAATAAACAATGAATCATTAAAATGAAACCTTTTTAGTTGTAGGATTTGTGGTGTGTGGTTGTTTTAGCTTAAAATTTCCATTATTAGCGCTGTTCAAATTCTGTAAATTAACAATTCCTTTTCCGCTGTTCACTCATTCAGTTTGTTTAAAGAATAGAACCTGAAATTTTAAGTATCATATTTTATTTTGGTATATAGAGATAAATGAAAAGAAATGTTAATTTTTTTAAATGTTGTTATTTAATTATAATAGCAGCAACAATCTGTTATATACGCCTCCTTTTACTAATTATATTATACAGGGTGTCTACTTCAGAATAGTGCAGATGCAGCACCAGAGCTCCCAGGTGATGGGCCCTCAATTACACAGAACCTGCCCATGGGATGTGTCGCATGTTTCCATACAACATCCTTCACATTTGATGCTGAAAATGGTCTTAGGCTATGCCCACAATTCAGTCTCTACTTCAACATCTCTTACAAAAAAACTCAAAGGGTGATCTGCAGATTGCGATTTCAGTCTGAATGTATTCTTTTGTTTCTTGTTAATTACTGTGGGGAAAGAGGATGTCCTGATCATGAGCATTTTAAAAAAATGGGCTGTTTCTATGTTGAAAGTAAACAAAACTCTCCCATGGGTATGGCCGGCTCAGCCGGTTCAGGGGAACGTGTCGGGCACTGCCTAGACAGTGGACGGCTCAATTGCTTACGGGATACACCTGCCCGAACTCTGCATAGTTATTGAATAGATGAACTATGTATAATAAATCTTTTTAAATTAATAAAAATAATGTGACCATGAAAATAATAAAAATGTATTTTTTATCATGGTCTATATTAATGATGTGATAAACTGGCCCGAAGTTTTTTAGACATCATTGAACTTGAATCAACCTCAAATTATGAATAGTAAAACAATCTCTGACATCATCTGATATTTTATATAAGCACAGGGTGGCCACTATCTGGAAAACATGGAAAATCAAGAAAAATCAGGTAATTTCATTGCTCTAGAAATGTCCAGAAATTTGTCAAAGAATTGTTAGAAATCAGTGAAAACATTGAGACTTTTAAGTAACTAGATATTATTCTTTTAAAAAATAGCCCAGCAAACAATAGTGACTCTC